TCTTTTTTTTTTTTTTTTAACTTTTTCTTTCCAAAATGATTTTTCATAATATAAAGAAATATAAAAAAAGTACAAAATTAATTTATTAAAATTATTTCCTTCCATTTGCAATATTAATTTTTAAAAGATACATATGAAAAAAAAAAAGAAAACAAACTTTAAAGCTAAGTCTTCCTTCGGCTTGATTAATAATATTGACGGTTGCATTACCGCCAGAAGCTTGAAATGTTACATCAGGAGGATCAATATTCAATGCCATCCCAAATTACAACACTTACAAGTATATATTGTTGTAATGAAAGCCAATGATAAACCGTATGATACACTCTGAAAAATAAAATTGAAATGAAATATTTTATTTTAAAATGAATTTAATTAAATATTTTTTGTTACAGTTCTTTTTTAGTTAATTTGCATAAACTTTCGCGGAAAATTTCCCATACTTTTCTTTAAAACATATTTATGAAAATTAGTAAATAATAAATGGATGAATGATATATTTGTATATCTATTTAAATAATAGCATTACTTATTAATTTTTCATTTTTTTTTTTTTTTTATAATTTCTATCAATCTTTGATTATTACTTATGAATTATTATTTATAATTAATTATCACTTATCAGCTATCATTTATCATTTAGTTATAGCAAACATATGAAATGAATGAGAGATAAGATATAGATTTAGACAAATCGATGATAAATGATTATCATATTTTTCATTGAGAAATATTACAAATGATAAGTATATGATTCAATGATGGATGAAATATTTCAGTAAGTAGCATAAGTTGTCAATTTAAATTTAAATTATTTAAATTAATATTGTAACAATAGCTTCAGCAGCTTAATGGAATATTTATTTGGTACTATTTAAAATTCTATTAAGTCATTAATTTTTATGCATAATTTTAATTGCTAATTAACTTTAGTATTTCAACGCTACCTTGGCTAGTTTTGAAACACGAAAAGATTTTGAATTATTCAAAAGTCATATATTGCATAATGAGCTATCCGTATCAAACGCTTTAATTGGACTCATTCGACAACAACACGGTAATCATTGCTTTAAATTTTTTCAAAACTTATCATTAATATCAAATGATAGTAAATATTGATGATAAGCATAAATGGTTATTGTAATAGTACGCTAAAAATGTTAATAAAAAAAAAGAAAAGAAAAACTGGTGATGAAATATGCGATATTGGTGATAATTTGTATTGATAGTGATGATAATAATAATGGGGATATCAGAAGATAATTTTTAACATTTTTGATGATAATAATAAAAAACTGGTGATGAAATATGCGATATTGGTGATAATTTGTAATGATAGTGATGATGATAATAATGAGGATATCAGAAGATAATTTTTAACATTTTTGATGATAGTAATACTAACAATAATAATATCAGGCATAGTAACTGAAACAGTCTATTTTAAGCAAGTTACAAGTGAATAAATTAAATAATTTATACACTTTATAGAAATTAAAAATTGTATTAAAAAGAAGAAAACAATCTTTTAGGTTCATATGCTTGGAAGGATTCATCACCGGTAACATTTCTAAATTGGGGTGAAGATGAACCAGCTGATGCAAAAGGTCGAATAATACAGCAATGTGTCAAGATGCAACTTAGTGGTAACTATACTTGGCATAGTCTTAGCTGTTGGCAAAGTACTCATTTCTTATGTTCAATACCGGTTGTTAATATACAATACAATTCTTCTACAAGTAAATTTTTATAAATATTAAAACTTTTTTTTCTTTTTAAAACTAAAATTTCATCCATTTATTTTGCAAATAATTTAAATGTAACATAAAAAAATTTCAACTTCTTCTACCAAATGATAGCATAAAATGATAATGGAATTTTTAAGATTAATTATTAAATTAATTAAATTTATTCCAACTATTTAGCCATTCTTTTTTTTCCTCCCCCCTCCCCCATCCAAAATTTTTTGTTTCAGAAGAAAAAGATAAAAGTGAAATAATTCCATCATCACATTTATCAAATGATAATGAAAAGAAAAGCAGGAAGAAATTACCCAATGATAATGATACCTATGTTAGCAAGATAAACACAAATAATCAAAATTGTAAGTGCCAAAGTTTTATAAATTTTTTTAAAAATTTTTTTTTTCGCCTTTGAAGAAGATAGGAATTCATTCCTAAATCATTTAGCAATGCTAAAGATAAAAGTCTTTTTTTTTTTTTTTTTTAATTTTTGGCTTATATAAATTGTTATTGGGAAAGAAAGGAATAAAATGACCAGAATTATGTAAGTTAAATGAAATGTAATTAATGATATAAATATTCAATGAGATATAAATTCCGTTTAATCTAATTTAATTCAAATCAAGACTTTCTCTAAATTGAATGGGTATAGAGTGAAAAAGAAATAATAAAGTTAGTGTTGAATTTTAGCATATCGAAAATCTGAAGTAAATTAATTTTGCAATAAATATTGCTAATTGTGAGCTAAAGTAATTATTATCATATTATTTTCTACTTGCTAAGTGTTATACTTTTCGTACATAAGCTTAATTAAAGTATAAACTTAATAAGCTTCGTCATATTTCATTCAATTACATTCATTTCTGACTAATCAATAATAATTATTATAATTTAAATTGTAGTGAAATAAGAATTGAAAACATTGCTTTATTTTATATAATATTGTATCACATTTTATGCCATATCTTATAATACAGTTAAAATTCAAGAATTTTTCTATTTCTTTTCTGTTTCTATTTCAATTCATTCATAATTACTGCCAATAATTACTTATTTCTGTTCTATTCCATTCCAATTATACCATAATTACTATCAGTAATTAATAAGCTGTTAATTTAAAAAAAAAAAAAAAGCTTATCATTCTTTTTACAGTGTTACCAGTGTCATCACCACAATCGATAAGCGTAATTAATGCCTTCGGTAAAATCTGTTTAGTGTTCATCATAGTGTTAAGTATAGTTGCTGGGATACAATTATGGAGACGAAAACGACGACTACGTTTAAGCAATCAACGAATTGTTCAATTTGATCAACTTCAAAATGAGGAAGAAAATACCATGTAGATGATAATGATACGGGTATCAGTAACAATTATAATGAACGAGTATCGATGTTAATTTTAAAATTCCTTCGAATGGAATGAAAAACATTTTTTTTTGGATTATAATATTAACAATTAAAAAAAAAAACTGAATTAAATTAATTTTATTTCAGTTCATTATACAATAATATATTCTATCCTTTATTTTTTTTATTACGCTAAAATTTGGTTCTTTTCTTTTTCTTTTCATTCATTTATGCAAATTTATTTGATTCATTAATGATTATTTATGATATAATGAATAATTGAATGAAGAATTAGGGGGAGAAAGTTATACGAATATGTTTACATATTGTAAAAGTAAAAATTATATGGAATACTTCATCTGTTGCATTTAAAATGTAATCTTTTCTTTTTAAGTTATCATATTCCAATATCCATGTCTTTTCATATTTTTCATCATTTTCTTTCATTGTAAATTTTGAAAATGCTCATTTCATCTTTCATTTTTCATTTATTTCAGTTGAAAATTCCATTTCAAATTTCATTTCTCTACATGCATTTTAATCGCCAATTTAATTAGCGTAAAAAATTTGGTTATGAATTTTTTTTTACTCAAACAGCTAATGTCAATCAATCACAATGAAATTTCTCCAAACAAGACACTACAGTAATCATTTTATGATTATAAATTTTCAAGCTCTAAAACAGACAATTGTTTCAATGATGGCATATATTAATTGGAAAAGTTTAAATTTGAGTAAATGATATTTCGTAAAAGTCCTGTAAAAAGTCAGACCTAATTTGGATCACCTGAAATGGTACGAAATTTTTAAGCTAATTAGTTTATATGATGTTTAAACGATATTTTAAAATTCGATAATTACACCAAATAATCCTTACGGTATCAGATAAATTATTGCTTAACTTCATACGGCTAACCATCGCTTGTTCTTAACGATAAATATTCAGAAGCACCTATTTCAGCCATTTTACCATTTCCTGAAAATTTCGTATTAAAGGATACAATTGCAAAATTTCAATATTTTATCAATTTTTCTGGGATAAAAATTTATGCAAAACTCATAAAAACTGTACAAAAAAAAAAAAAAAAAGAAATAGTTTTGTTTTTTTTTAATATTCTCCTGTTTT